ACATAATCACACATATGTATTATAAACACACACACACAAACACACACGTATATATATACGCACTACATGGTGTATTAAGCGTATTAAGCATGTATAGGCCACGTGGGTTCGTTAGACTTGTGGGTGCCCGCCAGGCCAAGTCATCTTTGCAGTAGTAACAGCATATGGGACTTTCCATAGTTGTCATCTCCTTGATGACCTGTTGTACCACACTTCACACACACATTTTCCATTTTCCTTAAAATGGCAAGATTTGGCTCCATGCCCATAACCTTGGCACTGCATAGGGTTTGGCATATATGATTCTACCTTGAGGTGGTACCATGCTAACTTAACTGATTCTGGAAGGACTAACATTTCAAAAGTTAGGAGAGCAAGTGTCAACTGTTCCAAACCATCAACTTCTTATTACTTTGTTTTACTGCCACTACATTAAAATTCTTTAGTTTTAATATTTTCTTCTCTGAATACTTCATCAGGTCCCGGGAAGAGACTATTTCCTTACACTGACTGAGTGTTTTGTGAGAACATGAGAACAGGAATGGCGCATATTACATGCAAATGGTCACTCATCTATCAGGCTACCATCTCGCTGTGGGGTGATGCGAGAATCAGGTTGACACACCTCAATCATCTTCCGATGTACTTATATCAAGATCCACGATTAATATACCATCAGTGGTCTTCACTACTAGGTATTTACCATACGAGATAGTTTCAGATTTATTAGGTAAGATTTCCTTAATGGATTAAGGAGGACTTTTCTCCTTATCTGGTTTGGTAGCCCGGGAACCATTACGATTCCCATTCTTGCTATTTGGAAGCTAGAAAGGTTCCAGAGTGACAATATGTGACGTTCCAGGGGGAGTGGCCATTGCATTGCATAGGTCGTCAAGTAGAGAGCTAGTTCTTTGTAAATTTGTAGAAATCATACAAATTAGAATTCTTCATTTCCTCACCCCCCCCCCTCACTCACAACGAAGTCCAACAAGGGGAAGCTATTGTTGGGTCTCAAAATCACCCAACAGCTGCAAGTCATTTTCCATTCCACGACTCTGGCTTGAACTCTGGGATCGAAACTTTCCCAGTTAATTTTGCTATCAAAATCCCCAGTTACAAGAATTTCTTTTGCAATAGTTTCCGGTTGTAGCATTTTTCCAGGTCCCTGAATAATTTTTGGTAATTTTCTTGTGACCACACCAATGCATGTACACTGTAGTTATTAAGTTTACTTCGTTTGTTTCTACTTCAATTGCCTTTATAATAATTCCTTTCCTTGTACATATTGCTACTCCATTTCTAATATTACATCGTCTACGGAAGGATCCAGTTTGGATCAGTGATGCATATTTCATCTATTTTATTAATTTCAATAACCGTATCTAGTTTTATAATTTCGAAAATAAACCTAAATCTATATTTTTATAAACTATTTTTATACAATCTTTCGGCATTCCTATTAACTGCAAGGCTGTTTGTCTGATTCTATATTTTGGTTCTCATAGCAGGCTTGTTTTGCTTCTTTTGTTTTTATGTATGATATTCTGCTCAAGAATTCAGGATTTGTGACCCTGAGAATATTGACAATCAGCTTCTTGTAGCTATCATCTTTTTTGCCTGTTCCATTATCTGATAATGGCTTCTCGATGTGCTTAACAATTTCTTGTACTTTGATTATTTCACCAACTTTTTCTTGCAGATTCTTTACTTCGATTTGACTACCTTTGCCAGTCAGTCTTGGTTTCTACTTCTTCCACATTTTCCTTGAGTTCTTTGATTTTCGCGTCAGACTTTTCAGTATTATCTCGCTGAATGGCAATGTCCCTACGCAAGTTATCCACCAACTCTACACACACACACACACATGTATGTATATACACCAGTACACACCGTGACCTCATACGGAGAGGTCGTGTGGTGCCCGTGCTCTGGTGCCCTCGTCCCATATACACGAATAACTGGTGTCATATATGAGGAAATTGTTTATGATATCTTTGTGCTCATATAACCCGCATTTCAGTGACATGAGAGTAGTACTGTGACAATAGTTATGTTTGTAAGGAAATTTGAAATAATTCCTCCACCGAGTGCCACGTAGTGCCGTGGTAACCGTTAGAGCTGAGTGCCCCATTGTCCCGAGCGCTATATATCACCTGTGACGAGGCGGGCGAGCGGGGCGGGCCAGGCGCGGCGGTCTCCCCGATGGGGGGAGACCGCAAAGTAAACACTGAGGGGGAGGACCCGATGGGTAACTGTCCCTCCCCTCCCGCGGCTGAGGAATCCGCTTCAGTCCGTGCTGAAGGTGATCCTGAAGTGAGCAACAATGAAGGTGCTGAAGGTGATCCTGAAGTGAGCAACAATGAAGGTGCTGAAGGTGATCCCGAAGTGAGCAACAATGAAGGTGCTGAAGGTGATCCTGAAGTGAGCAACAGTGAAGGTGCTGAAGGTGATCCTGAAGTGAGCAACAGTGAAGGTGCTGAAGGTGATCCTGAAGTGAGCAACAGTGAAGGTGCTGAAGGTGATCCTGAAGTGAGCAACAATGACGGAGGAAAAGGCTTCCCAATAGTGAAGTCGAAAACTAAGAAAAAACGAAAGTCCCGATCTCTGTGACATCAAGTCCAGTGACGCAACCATCCCCCCAGGTGCATCTGGCACAACAACCGAAGGGCCTTTGCTGAGAAGTGGAACAAAGCTAAGACCAAATGTTTGTAATGGTTAAAAGTACTTTTAAGATTACCATCTGTAATGAAATCCACAATTATAAAGCTATATGTTTCCTATGTCAATCTATAATTCGTAATAGTCAAGGATATTTCAGCATGAGGTACAGCTTGACTAATAGAGCACTATTCACATATGGATAAACGCACAATTAAATTTATATCATGGAACATGCATAGTATAAAGCCTAGGCTGAATGACCTAGAGTTTTATATCCGTAAATATAATTGTACTGGGATATCTTTTATTGGAGCAAAGTTTCAACCTGAAATGTGATATTCAGGTAATACAATTGGCAATTTAAATCATTCAAAAATACGCATTAATGCTCTGAATAACTAAATAAATATCTTATCTTGCGTCAAAAAGAAAATATACACACATCGATGAATATTAATGTAACAAATCAATCCAAATAAACAAAATGAACTTCTTATATCACAATTTTGAACTAATATAAGGAATGCCACTACACATTTCGTGCGACGTAACTAAATAATCTGCCTAACAATATCACAAAATAAATCATACATTGTACATTTTCATTGAACTCACTTCAATGGCCACACTATTACAATCCATGATTCCCAGTAGTTGCCATCACGTATAATCTCAGTTACGGCACAAACCCATATCCACAGCCAATTGGACATAACACTGGCTGAAACATATGAAAAGTAAACACTCCAAATTATGGCCGACGCCAACACAACAAACTCATGTTCCGTATATTTATCAATATTAATGAGGATCATCCTCTCCTGATATTAATTTGAAACCCTTTAATATCCTTAAACATACCTTCATGAGTGTAAAGACTTAAGCTCAATAACTGCCACTTCTGTGAAAGGTCGCCAACACAAATATTCCCTGTGAAGTGGATTCACACACGAGGCGTCAACCGCTACAGCAACGTCATACGTGGGCTCATGGGTAAACATAAAACACTCGAGATGCGCAGCGTAACATCTCACCCGTAATTATCAAATAAACGTAAATATTCCTGTTTTTCATATACCTATCATACTAATGATACACTCCCCCCCCCTCAATTTGGACAAGTTACATATGCTTAAACTTGTTCTTCTATTGGCAACAGCATTACTAATCTATGTACTGATCTACACATGATCTTATCCGCCTCACCATAATACCCTTTGCCATCCTTTATTATTTTATATCTTAAATCAACTTAACGAACTATTCCATCTCGTCCTGGGTCAGCCCTAATTACTTGAGCCAGCTTCCATGTTCCCCTTACAATATTGCTATCTTGCACTAGAACAACATCTACTTTCACATTCCTTTTGGCTGTATGCCATTTCTGTCTTATCAACACTGACGGGAAATAGTCCCTTTGCCACTTCTTCCAAAAAGAATTTATAATATTTTGGATAAACCTTAATCTCCTTTTGTGATCTCCATCAATTTCATACAAGCCAATTGGACAATGACAGCTAGATCGACCAAGTAACAGATCATTTGGGCAGAGATAGCTACCTAATTCCAAACTAAATCCAAGTTTTAAGCCTATTGGTCTTTCATTCATTAAATTGGCAATACAAAATAAGGCAATCTGTAATTCTCCAAAATTTAGTATAGAATCCCCAATACTAACACAAATACTCCTTTTGACTGATTTGATCAGTACTTCACTTACACCATCACTTGGCATATTGAAAATCCAGGTCACACCCTCTTTCTCCCCAATGCTCTCTATTTTCTTACTAGCTGATATTAGCTGAGTTCCCCTATCAGAATACATAAATTTAGGGGCCCCCCTAATAGCAATGAAATCATCGGTACTATATCCCATAGCTAAATCCAAATAAACTGATCTTGCCACTAAGCAATTAAAAATAATTCCAAATGCTTTACCATAAGTTCTCTTCTTAACTGAATCTCTTATTGTTAAGGGCCCAAACAAATCTATTGCTGTATGACAGAATGGTGGAGCAGGTTTCATCCTTTCTGCCCTCACTTGACCCATGCATTGATCTTCCACTTTCTTAATTAATTTTCTACATGTTACACATTTATTTTTTATGGTTCTTATTAATTTTCTAGCTCCCGAAACCCAAAACTTGCTCTGTATCTTACACAATGTAGTCTCTATACCTGCATGATCCACTTTATGTAGACAGGATATGTACAACCTAGTAACAGGATGTTTATTAACATGAAATTTTCTTTCAACTACTTAGAAATTCGTTGTCCTACTACTATAATCCCCCCTTCAACTGATGGTCCCAATCTTTTGAACCTTGTTTCCCAATCAGTCATGCTCTTCTGCATTTCTTTGACCCATAATATTTCTGCATCCCTTGAACTGTGGGGCTTCTTAGAATACCTTTGAAAGACCTGTATTTGAATACATTCATTACCCTACATGTAACTCTCAGCAATTTGTAATAGTCACTATACCTATAAACATCAATTAATTGTATACCACAATTCTCATGACTTGCATTATTAACCGTCATGCTAATACCAATTCTGTCAGTTAACTCATCCTCACAAGTTTGCCTGATGGGCCATCTATTAGTTGGTAAAGTTAAAACTTGGGTCCATTTTGCCAGTCAGACTCTCCCCCAATTTTCTCTGGTTTGCATGGTCTAGAGGTCATGTCTGCAATATTGCGTTGAATCGACCCACCACCATTCCTTTAGGTCAGTTTTGATTTGTATCTCTGCTATGCGTACTGCAACAAAGGTATTGAATCCGTGACTCTCCTTTTGGATTTGTGATCTTACAATTGAAGAGTCAACTATGTGGTAAATTGCCTCAAACTTCCATGTAAACTCCTTTAATATAGATTCTCTTAATCTAGTAGCCATAAGAGCCGCACATAGTTCTAACCTAGGAATGGACATTTGCTTCATTGGTGTAATCTTTTTTCTAGCTGCTATCAGATGTGAATCAAATTCATCTTCACCAGTTTGCCACCTCACATATGCACAAGCTCCATATGCTTGCATGCTACCATCCAAAAATATTATTAGGCTTGGTTTACCAACAACATTAGATGGTATCAAGGATCTTCTAAAAGTCAGTTTCTCTAACTCATACAATTCCTTGAAAAACATCTTCGATTCCTTAACCGTGGAAATATCAAGTGGATCATCCCACTTGATTCCGCCATCTTTCGACTCACCTTGGGAAATCACGAGTCTCATCAAAATTTTTGCTTTGAGCAATACTGGTACAGCAAACCCTAATGGATCATATATGGATGCAATTTGACTCAATATCATTCTGCGTGTCAAATGTTCTGGAAATTTATCATCAATTTCATCTGAATTTAAATTTGGACCACTTCTGATCTTTCTTATTCTTGAAGAAAAATTTGGTTTTACTGTGAAGAAAAAATGATCATCCAACGGGTTCCATTTCAATCCTAAGATCTCATGATCAGATTTTATCACATTGACCTTGCAGCTTTCATAATGCCCATTGACAATCCAATGTTTAACTCTGAAACTTCCCTGAGACAATATCTTCTCTGTATCCTGTATTAACTTGAATGCATTCTCAACGGTATCAGTAGAATACAGTATGTCACCAACATAAGTATTGTTAATAATCATATCTTGCACATCCGGATATTCCTTGCCAAATTTCTCTACAGTGTGTCTCAATGCTAGCATAGCTATGGTACCACTAGGCTTATCTCCAAACGTTACTGTGGTAAGAGCATACTGATCAGGTGGTCTATTGTCATCCAAATCCCTTCATAAAAATCTGTATGTTCATCCATTGTGCTAAGCTTGACAGTATGGTACATCTTAGCTATGTCGCCTGCTATAGCTATATTATTCGGTCTAAACCTAAATAAAATTCCCAGTAAGCTGTTCAGGATATCTGGCCCCTTTGCCCAGAAATCATTTAACTTCTGCCCCATGTATGACGCAGAAGAGTTGAAGACAATGCTTATTGGAGTTGAGTTGGATTCTGGTTTCAATACTTCATGATGATGAATATAATGAACTGGACCCTTGTATTCTCGCATCTCTTCCTTGGTTAATTTCCTCACCACTCCCCTATCAATCATATCTTCTATCTCTCTCTGATACTTCATGGCATATTCATTGCCAAGTTTCTTCAATCTATTCTCTGTTGTTTTTAATCTAGCATTAGCTACTTGAATATTATCTTTCAAATGCATTGGATCCCTTAGCCATGGATACTTTGCTAGCCAGCATTTTTGTTCCTCATTATATAACAATCCTTCCTCAATCAATGCTAGTTCTCTTTCTTCCTTTAAACTTATGCAATTAGGTTCAGGACATCCTCGACACATACACTTTATACATTGTGGCTTACATTTTGTTCCCATTTCCTCCATGGCAAAGAATTTGTCCAATTTAGTCTTTAAGCTATCTGTGGACTCTATATTAATTTCCTTCAAATCTACGAGACTAGACAGTATATGAGTTCTTACAAGTATATGATTGCTGGTGTTGGATCCATTGGTAATCTTGTCATGTCTACCTCGAATGCTGAACCCGAATTGATTTTCCAGTAACTGAATACCCTCATTGTGTTCAACAACCCTTGGCAGTATTTCACAACAATCTGTACCGATGAGCATATCAATTTCCCCATATGGAAGATCCACCTCTAAGTTCGAGATTCTTACAAAAAGTTCAGGTAGTCTGGACAAATCAATCCTTTTAACTTTGGAAGATATTTCATTGATACCGACAGCGTTCACATTCCAAACTTTACCATTCTTATCAGTTAATGGTACACAGTATGTTTTACTTGATTGATATTCAATTGTGTTGCCTACCCTAAAGAAGTATCTGAACCTGGATCCCACAATACAGTGACGGGCAGATTTTTACTATGCACCGTACTAATATTCAACAAAGCTTTTCCTCTCTTCTCCATTACTGCATTGTGAGAACTGCTTTCTATTCTGTCTTGATGCAAAAGTGGATGATGATTCCGATTACATGGTCCTTGGCCTTCAATGACTACATTACACAATTTGCCTACTTTACATCCATGTGCTGAATGATATCCCTTTAAACACCTAAAACATATAGCATTCCTCTTAATCATATCAAATCTTTCTTTGCTATTACAGCCCTTGAACTTGAAACAATTTGTTATATCATGATTCTCTGAATTGTGTAATAAACAACCTATACTTATATTGTTCTCCTTGCATTTAATACCCTTTATCATTTCATTCAAATTTACAATGCATGACTTAAATTCTCTATTCTTGCACTGTTGTTCTTTATTCAATTTTCTCATCAGCTTAACCAGCTCTGACTCCGAATTGTTTTCGACCACATTTTCAACATGATATGCTGTTGCTCTACTATCACTAGTACTAGTTCTTACATTTGAATTCATGTACTCCAAAACCTTCCTTTCTTTCTGCAAGAAACCTAACAGCTCAGAAAACAATTCACCAGTGACCAATATATCACTTGCTTTAATTACACATTCTCTTTTTTTGGAGTGATGGCAGAATTTTCTCAATATGGTTAACAACATTAGCTGTATTGAGTTCATCAGATAGATTTACCCTTTTTAAATCTAACCAACATTGTTCAACCTGATCAACCATTTTAACAAACCCTTTAGTATCACCATCTGATATCTTCCTCAGAGATTATCACCAAGTCTACAATTTTCCTTGGGTTACCAAATTTGTCATCCAACCGCTTAAACATTTCATCATAATTACCCTCCGAGCCCTTTACTGTCTGGAGTGCCTCCCCACCTAAACACATTTTGAGTGCATATGGATCAGCACCATATTCACTTTGAACCAAGTTCTTATAATCCTCTTTAAATGTAGGATACTCTCTTAAATTACTTTCAAACTTGGGAGGTTCAAATCTCTTTACCTTAACCTTTGGTTTGTCTGTTGCCTTCTTCTCATTATTTGTCATGAATATCTTAGCACACAGTTCATTCTTTAATCTTTCACTATCTAAAATATATTGTTCAGCCTCTTCTCCCAGGTTTTTATCTTCTAATTCATCCTCATTATCAGATATAAATTGTATCAGTTCATCATTCTTACACTCTAAACACTTAAATGCTTCTATTACTTCCTCATAGTTAGTCTTCAACACTAATAGATCATCACCTCTGTCTATTCCTTCTTTACATAAAGCTACCTTCCTGGTGAACTTTCCTTTAGCAGTTCCCCTCTGTTTCTTGAGGGCGTTGAGGTCCCCTTGCACACCCATGGCGCTGAAGTTGAAATGTACTGGGAGATCAAGGAAAAGCCATCAGCTTGTGTTGGCGACCTTTCACAGAAGTGGCAGTTATTGTGCACAAGTCTTTACACTCATGAAGGTA